TCCATATAAATATGACTCTTCATGGCTTTACTGTTCTTGAGAAGAAGATTTTTAAAGATTTTTCCTATATATTTCTATGTAAAATTTGGATCCTCCATTGTGGCCCCGCCCTAACCCCGGGGGTCATGATTTGAACAAACTTGAATCCACACTACCTGAGGATGCTTCCATATAAATATGACTCTTCATGGCTTTACTGTTCTTGAAAAGAAGATTTTTAAAGATTTTTCCTATATATTTCTATGTAAAACTTTGATCCTCCATTGTGGCCCCGCCCTACCCCCGGGGGTCATGATTTGAACAAACTTGAATCTACACTACCTGGGGATGCTTCCATATGAGTTTCATCTTTCCTGGCCCTGTGGTTCTTGAGAAGAAGATTTTTTAAAGATGCTATTCATTTTTCACTAATTCTTAATTATCTCCCCTTGAAAGAGGGCGTGGCCCTTCATTTGAACAAACTTGAATCCCCTTCACCCAAGGATGCTTTGTGGCAAGTTTGGTTGAAATTGGCCCAGTGGTTCTGGAGAAGAAGTCGAAAATGTGAAAAGTTTACAGACAGACGGACAGACGGACTACAGACAAAATGTGATCAGAAAAGCTCACTTGAGCTTTCAGCTCAGGTGAGCTAAAAAGGTCACCGTGACTTACTTTTAAGTCAACATGATATGAGGTCCTTAGATGCATCAACTGACAAGATTCGATGATCCTAGTCCTTATAGTAAGCAAAATATCAACATTTTTAACAAAATGTAATTTTTGGTCAACTTTGAAGTGATCTTGAGACCACGCCCTTTGCCCCAGAGTGATGCCTTGAACAATTCTTAATCTACAACATATCCTCATCCTTTTGAGTAAGTTTGGTGATAATCTGCCTAGTGGTTCTTGAGAAGATTTTTTAGCAACCTGTACTTTTGTTCCTATTTTCCTAATTATCTCCCCTTGTTAAAGGGTCACAACCCTAGTTTTGGTATAAACAGGAGCCCTTGGGCTATGTATACCTTGTGACAAATTTGAAAATAATTGGCCAAGGGGTTCTTGAGATATGGCCCATACTCTAAAAAATTTACGCACACCGCACAAATGGCCATAGCATTAGCTCTTTGAGAAGCTGAACTATTTTGCTTCAGCAATGTATTACATAATACTGATCATTAAAAATTTATTGATTAAAAACTGTCGGCCCCTTTCGGCCCCTAATTTGAGGGTCAGCCCTCTTTCTTTATATCATATTAAAGCTCTCCTGATTTGGAATACTTTTTGTTCAACAACAATTCAGAAATTTTTTTTCATTTCTGAGATATTTCCAAAAGATTTAGGAGCCCCTCTTCAACTCCTAAATGCAAGTCCTCATACGTAGCTCTCTCCTACCGGCCAGAATCGGAGAGGATCATACATTTTGGTTGTGGTTTGCAACAATGGTAAAACTCGCATTCAAAAAGTTTTAAATGATCATTTTTTTTAAGAAACTTGGATCTCATGAACTATTTTTTTAAAATATAATAATATCAAGGATTGTTTACACAATTAACATGTTATGCTCATCTGTATACATTTACCTAACATTAATGTCAAGACGATATCTCTAATGAGTGAGAATTTCATTGAAAACAATTGACCACATCACCTGTACACTGCTTTCTACAATTGTTGATTAATTACCTTGGGCAGCTATTGTCTTATCTGGTCTACCTGAGCTCTGTGTGCACTGGTGTGATGTGAAATTTTGCACGTGCGTGACTAAGAAAACAAACAAGGTGAGAAAGAAAACACAAGACATGTCCATTGCTATCAGCATATGAAGTTTGATAACACTGTCTTGAATGGTTTCTTTAAAACTGAGCTAAACACTAATTTAAGAAAAATGAGGTCAATAGTGATGGGACATCGGTTAATTTTCATAATCGATCATCTGTTGGAATAGGTTACTGCTTCCGATGTGATTTTACCGATTATATTCTTATTTCATAGTTTTGTATACATAAAGCAGACTATTAAAATTATTTTATATTATTTCTTTACCATGAATATTTAAAATATGTAATATATTATTTTCTTTGTTGTTTTGCTTCTTTTACACTTTCAAGGCCTAAAAAAATTATGTTTGTTTCCTGTAACATTCCCAAAACATAGGTAATCAGAGATTACAGAGCTCACCTCAACGAATGTTGTCTTTAAGTAAGGCAAAGTCCCACACTAAACTAATAATCTAGGAGTGTGCATCCCTAGATGCAACATTTATACAATTTTGGTCTGATAGGGCTTGCAGTTACTTGGGAATAGACTTATCTGAAAACTTAAAACTAGTCACTCATCCAGAAAATGTAAGTCAAATCCAGCATCCGAAGCAAGTTTTGAGATTGTCCGTCCCTTGATGCATCATCCATGCAATTTGGTTCAGATAGGCCTTATAGTTACTTGGAAATGAGATCTGCTCCAAAAACTTTAACCTGGTTACTCATCCGGAAAATGTAGGTCAGATCCAGCATCCAAAGCAAGTCCAGTAGTGTGCATCCTTAGATGTATCATCCATGCAAGTTTAGTCAATATAGGGCTTATAGTTACTTGGAAATGACATCTGCTCCAAAAACTTTAACCTGGTCACTCGTCCCAAAAATTTAGGTCAGATCCAGCATCTGAAGCAAGTCCAGTAGTGTGCATCCTTAGATGTATCATCCATGCAAGTTTGGTCAATATAGGGCTTATAGTTACTTGGAAATGAGATCTGCTCCAAAAACTTTAACCTGGTTACTCATCCGGGAAATGTAGGTCAGATCCACCATCCGAAGCAATCCAGTAGTGTACATCCTTAGACGTATCATCCATGCAAGTTTGGTCAATATAGGGTTCATAGATACTTGGAAATGACATCTGCTCCAAAAACTTTAACCTGGTCACTCATCCATAAAATATAGGTCAGATTCAGCATCCGAAGCAAGTCCAGTAGTGTGCATCCTTAGATGTATCATCCATACAAGTTTGGTCAATATAAGGCTTATAATTACTTGGAAATGACATCTGCTCCAAAAACTTTAACCTAGTCACTCATCCGGAAAATGTAGGTCAGATCCAGCATCCGAAGCAAGTTCAGTAGTGTGCATCCTTAGATGTATCATCCATGCAAGTTTGGTCAATATAGGGCTTATAGTTACTTGGAAATGAGACCTGCTCCAAAAACTTTAACCTGCTCCAAAAACTTTAACCTTCTCCAAAAACATTAACCTGGTCATTCTTTAGCTGAAATTCCAGCATCTGAAACCTTGACTGGTACAATAAAACACACTAGAAGCATCCTCCATGCACCTCTGACTAATATAGGCCATAGAAGTACTTGAAAAGATTGATTGATTGATTGTATGTTGTTTTACGTCCCATTCGAGAATTTTTCACTCATATAGAGACGTCACCTTATACCGGTGAAGGGCTTCAAATTTTGACCTTTACTCGGCACTCAGGGCCATTGAGCATTGAGGGATCTTTATCGTGCCAACGCCTGCCGTGACACGGGGCCTCGGTTTTTAAGGTCTCATCCGAAGGACCCGCAACTTTCACTTCAAAGTGCCGAGCGCATGGCGAAGGAACAGTTGCTACCCATTTTTTATCGACGTAGGTCTGTCGCGGCCGAGATTCGAACTCACGACCTCCAGATCACGGAGCGAGCTACTTGAAAAGAAAACTGCTCCAAAAACCTTAACCTGGGACGCCGACGCCGAGGGTATTACATAAGCTCCCCCAACTTCGTTGAGGTGAGCTCAAAATCAAGGGTTGGTAGGTCAGGAATTTTTGTTTTTTGCTTATGAATAATGGGGTCAAACATCCCATGACTGAATTATCCAGGTGTTATATTTACAGTGGACACCCATCATGGCTGCCCTAGCGGCAGAAAACTAACTTCAAAAAGTTGTGGGGGGAACTCTTTAAATTTAAGGTAAATGTTGACTAAGTTGCATATTTTATATCTCAAATAAAAGATACAATTAATATTTTTTAATAAAAAGAATCAGCTGATTGATCAAACCAAAGAGCAAACACAGATTTGGCAGAAAAAATTCCTCCTGGGGGTAAATTGAATGGGTTGGTCGTGTTACAGGAAACAAACATAAGTTTTTTTTAGGCCCTATATAATATGCACCTTTCGGTTCTTAATCACCTCTGCTTCGTGCTAGTTGGCTAGTATAAGATGCAGACGCCATTTTCTTTCATTTAGAAGAAATAAATTTTAAACCAGAAATGGATAATTCCGGAAAGTATTTTTCCGATGATCGATTATGAAAAATTATAATCGAACATCGGAATCGGTAGCATTTTTTCGTCGACAATCAGTGTTTTCTGATTATCGGTACAACACTAAAGGTTAAAAGAAAAGGTCACAGTAAAAAAATGTTGATGCAATTGAATAGCTCTTGTCAATATGTCTCAGCATATGAAGTTTGATAAAAATACCTTGAATAGTTTCTTTGAAACTGAGCTTTGAACTGAGCTAAATGCAAAGTGTGGTGAAAGGACAGAAGGATGGAAGGACAGAGGGATGGAAGATGCACATGACAAACTCTATATGCCCTGGCCACATTCATGGAGGAGCATAACAATATGTTCCAAAACTTCGTTTGGGGAACATAATAAGAAGAAACAGAGTAAAAACAATATGTTCCCTTACTTCGTTTGGGGAACATTATATTATATTTATTGTCATGATTACATTAGGTAAAATATGATAAAGATTAAAAGCGCTTAACCTAAAAGTTACAATTTGTCCAAAAAAGTTCAAGTTAATTGTACCTTTACTCAGTAAGATGCATATTGACACCCAATTTTCTTTGCAAATTTGAGTCATGCCGGAGGAGTAATTATTTCAAATATACAAAGGTGAATCTTTGGATCAGTGAGCTAAAAATTTCACCAGTGCTTTGTGTGTCTGGATTATTTAACCCCCACATCCCGAAAAACAGAAAACAAAACAAAATGAAATAAAAATGCAGACAAAATCCAATGTTACTTACAGGACAATAGTATCCTTGTGGACATTGTTTACAAAGGAAGGAACCTTTGACTGTAGTGTAGAAGCCATCCTCACATTCCTTACACAGCTTCTTTGATTGCACATCTTTGTAATAACCTACACAAAGAATGCAAAAGATGATCATTTGATTTTGATGGCTGCCTTTTTTTAACAAAGGACAAGGTATGGTAAAGGCCAAATCTGGCCCCTTATTTGATGTAAAAATCAAAACACAGTTTAAACTGTGATAGTTTATAGTTAAGAATTTAAAATGATGCTTGTTTTAAAACCAGCACTAATTTTGATTCAAAGCTTACACAGAGGCCACAAGAGGGTGCAAAAGTGGGATATTTTCCCAAATTTCCTCAATTTTTGTGGAATTTTGTCAAATTTAAGATACTTTTCACTTCATGAAACATAGAGCACAAGCTTGCCTACATGAGATTTTTATACACAAGATGCATTTGATGCTAGTGTATGAAATATATAAATTTGGTAGATAGGCAAGCTTGTTCTCTATGTTTTCTGAAACAAAATATGCTGTAAAATTGATGAAAGTTTGCATAAAAATGAGAAAATTCAGATAATGACATATTTTCTGACCTTCCTGTGACCTCTGTGTATCCCTTAACTTAGAACCGATGCTCATTTTGTGGCAGGGGTGACAACAGGTTTTTATTGGTAAACTGTTGCATCATTCTAAAAGACACCCCAAACCAGAGGCCAAAAGGGGGCCTTACCCTATCTTGTCCTTTAAGATAAGTACATACATATTCATGTAGTTTCCATGTAAGTATCTATCTATTAATTTGTTTTCACTACTTGACTTGTGGACCTATAACTGTAACATTGAAAGCAAACCACAATCAGAGCTGACTACCACCTTTCTTATGAATTACAAGTGATTTGTAAAATAAATCCTATTTTTCTTTCTTATGGAAGTCTACACAAAGAAACAACTAAATGTAATCATTTTAATTCAGCTTAGGCCCAAAATAAAAAATTGTTGCTTAGCAGTTGCCTACCAACCCACTAAAACTGCACCTGAGCCGAACTTTTTTTCAGTCATTTTTTGACTTTTTTTTTGGGGGGGGGGGGAGGGGGGGGGAGGGGGGGTTACTTTCAAGTTTTCAGGATATTAAACTGTTTCATTTTTTATTTAAATTTTTGTTTTCATCAATTAGTGGCTTAAAATGATTGGAGCTTATTTACATTAAGTATTAACCCTATGAATATTCTTATGATCTGTTATCAAACGAAAATCTGAAAAGTAAAATCTTTTTAAAAAAAAAAAAGCAAAAAAACCCCCCAGTTTTTCTACCCACTCTCGAAATTATAGGTTGGCAACTGCTAGTGAAGAATTTTTTTTAAGCTTGGACTTATTCAACTGAATATATATACATTTGGCTCTTGGGATCAACATTAACATTGTCACCTATGGGAAATGTACAAGGGACGATCAGAAAATGATGCAAGTAATGTTATTCCATACATTTCCTTAGTGTGTGACCAATGTCAATGTCACACAGGGGTAGATACATTCATGATCTGTATATGTCTAAAATTTCTCTTCGTTTTATTCACTGTTTCAATAGATATATACAAAAGAAGGAGGGGTAGTCGTACATACTGACCATTTTCTCCCAGTGATATGAAACCTACAGTGAAGGCTGAAATAAGGACCTATATAAAAGTGAGAGGCATTCTTGATATACCTGCAAAAGTCATTTTAAATGAAAATTGTCAGATTAATGGAGATTCTGCCGTTTCATTAAGCACAGTTTGTCGCTGGTTGAAAAAGTTCAAGAATGGCGTAGAGGTCATTAAGGGGTCCCGACCCTCTGCTATAAATTTCACTAAGAAAATTTAAAATTTCTAATATTGATTTTTATGAACAACAATAACATTAGAGCTACATGGAAAATAGTTTGAAGTATGAAGCGCTGCTTATTTTTTCAGAAATGATTTTTATGTCATATCATGATATGAAGAAATTTCAACACAGAGAACAGAAAGAGTAATGATTTATTATCACAACATAAAATTTAAAATATGAGGTGTATATGAAAATAATACTTAGTATCATACCTATTAGAATCATGTTAGAAAACTTCATAAAGCGGTGCTCCCTAAGTCAGAATATCACAATGTTGTATGTGGTTGTAAGAAAAAAATACATCTGGGAGGAGGAGTTATCTTTCTTCTAAATATTTCTTCATTTGAAAAAAAATGTAATACTAATAAAAATTCTGTATTGGTACTTGAAACATTAAACCATTTTTAAAATGGTCCTTAAAAAGATACAACTTATTCAATTTATAAGGCTTTTGAAATTGGATTTAAATATTTTTCTGTTAAATATAATAAAACAATTTGGAAAAAATTCGCAAAAGAAATAGATAGTAATGTTTCCATCATATGTTAAATTTCATCGAATTGACTACTCAGAGGTCTCAATTAGGAAACTCTGATAAAGAAAACTATGAGTAGTATTCATATTTTGTACTTTGAAAGTTATCTCTCTTATCAGAGGGTCGGTACTTAAAGATTCCTCAAGGCCAGTGCGACCAAAGACAGCTGTTACTGATGGAAACGTGGCTGCAGTTAAACAAATGGTAGAGGGGGATGGTAGATATACTTTAAAATATATTGCTAGTTGGGATCTCATCAGCAAAGGTACATGAAATTTTGACCAAGCATCTCAACCTACGTAAAATAGGCACGATGGATACCGCATCTCTTGACACCAGAACAAAAGTCAACGCGTTTAAAATTTGCCAGAAAACTTTTAAAAATATATCAAAACTGTGACAGGAGAAAGTTTGCTGACTTGCTAACAAGTGCACGGCCAGGAACACGTTAAGTTCCTAGACAGTACCGTTGTCAGAAACCTTTAAAGTTAAGCACTGAAACTGGTTCGTTGTCATGAACATACAGGTGAGGTTATGATAAAATCCGTCCGGTGTCATGCAAAGGATACAAGAATTTATACATAATGCCTAAAATTTAACGTTTTTGACAAATTCTAAGAATAAATTTGAATATTGGGAAACAGATACAACATTCAGTGTTCCATACACAGATTTATGCATTTGATATCCACAATACATTTTGAGGAGTTTGGGTTGGCGATCACATGCCCATGTGTGAAGCCATGATCGTGAGCTGGAAAATTATATATTTCTTATATTTAATTCGTCAAAATGGTTCTTTCATTTTAAAATATGAAGAGAAGCTTCGTTTTAAATGTATTAGGCAACTGACAGCCTTTTGTAGCTAACATGTTTTAAGAAATCGTAATTTATAAGTAAAAAGTCCGTTGTCAGTACATGTTAAGTTTATCTGGTCCGGTGTCATTTTTCTTAACATGTAAGTAAATCAATAAAATGCAATAGAAATGGTTAAAAACATATGCTTAATTTAAAAGAATACAAAGCATATTACAGATAATTTTGAATCTCGGGGTCGTCTTAAAGCAGCTCACACGAATGTGCTAACTATTCTGCGATGTTTTTATGTTCAATTCATTTTCTCTTAGGAACCTGCATCCTAATATGCAAACATGTACAATTCCTTGTATATCATCAGTATAACAAAATTAAAATGTTATGCTCAGGTCACATTTAAGTCGATGGTCGGGTGACCAAATTATTTTCGTATTGTCGTCTGGAAAAACATCATCGGCCGACACTAGTATCGGGCGACGCAGAGTAGTCATATTAATTCCTAGGAACATCGATGACTTTAAAAGTAAAAACATTTTAAAGCTGGCCAACCGTCGCCCGATCATCGTTCGCTAGTTTGAGTTTGATTTTCATCTTTGGCCGACAGTTGTATGAAAACCCTATTCCTAAATGTCGGCCGACTGACGACCGACTTTAAAAACTGTATGCCGATGGTCGGCCGATGATCGAAGGTTGGTGGACAGACTATTCAATAAGTGCTTCAATTGAATGGGCCAAGGACACAAAAAAAATTTAACTTGACCTTACTGACATGCTTAAAATTGGTCGGCCAACAAGCAAGACAACGGCCAATAATATGAAACTTATGTGGAAGCATCCTCAGGTAGTGTAGATTCAAGTTTGTTCAAATCATGACCCCCGGGAGTGGGACATCACTGGGCTATCAAAATTTTACATAGGATAACATAGGGAAAATCTTCAAAAATCTTCTTCTCAAGAACAGCAAAGCCATGATTGGTCATATTTTTATGGAAGCATCCTCAGGTAGTGTAGATTCAAGTTTATTCAAATCATGACCCCCGGTGGTAGGATGGGGCCACAGTGGGCGATCAAAGTTTAACATAATAATACATATGGGAAATCTTTAAAAATCTTATTCTCAAGAACAGCAAAAAAAAGCATCCTCAGGTAATGTAGATTCAAATTTGTTCAAATCATGACCCCACAGGAGTACAGAGGGGCCAAACAGGGAATCATAGTTAAACAAAGGATTATAAAGGATATATCAATAAAAATTTCTTCTTTAGAATACAAAGCCATTATTAGTCATATTAATTCAAAAGCATCTTAAGGTGGTGTAGATTCAAGTTTGTTCAAATCATAACCCCCCCCCCCCTTTCATATTTAAACTTTTGAATACTGAACTGATTTCTGCTATTTCCGAGCCAAAGTGCTCAGGTGAGCGATGTGGCCCATGGGCCTCATGTTTTTTGGTGGATTTGTGAATGTAATTGGTGTGTAACTCACATTGATGTATCTCGTATGCTATTTCATGCAGCGTGATTGTGACGCTATACATTTTGTCGTCCTGTTCGTATTGTCGCCGGCGACAATGTGTACATACACTCACTGAGCATATTGTCATCCATCAGTACATGCCGCATGACAATGCATGGCAATGTTTCCATACAGATATGGCTAATAATCGTTTTGCTGTTGTTGAGAAGAAAAAGTTAAAAGGATTTTCATATATATTCCTGTGTAAAACTTTGACCGCCCTTTGTGGCTCCAACCTTGGTCCGGCGGTCATGATTTGGAGAAACTTGAATCAACACTATCTGAGGATGCTTCCATATAAACATCACTAATCACCGGCCTACTGCTGTTCTCAATATTTGATCAAAAAATTTCAGAACGGGGGAGGGGGGTGCG